CGCAGCCCCCACCCGCCCCCCCCCACGTCGCCACCAACGTCACTGCTGGCGTCTACAGGCGGTCACTGCTCGCCAGCGCCCCCGCTCCCACTGCCAACACTGCTGCTGACATCTGCGGGCAGTCCCTGCTCACCACCAACTACAAATGGTGCCCCCCCCCCCAGTCTTGGGAGGTACCAGTCGTTCATGACACACACTACTTCCATGAACACACCATTTCCATCAACATACACAGTCCTTTCATGTACTCACACATACACCACTTTTGTGAATGCATGCTTTCATATAGACTCATGCTTTCATGTACAGACATGCTTTTCATTACCCACCAACACCTTTCATGTACACACACACACCACTTTCATGAACACGCATGCTTCTTTCATGTACACACGCACCACTTATGTACATACACACACTACTTTCAGGTATATACACCACTCGTATACACACCCACTTCTTTCATTACATACATGCAAGCTTTCGTGTATACACATGCTTCTTTCATGTCTGCACACCACTTGTACACACACACACACACACCACTCATGTACATGCACACATACCACTCATTAGCACATATGCTTCTTTCATATACACACACACAGCATTTTCATGCACACTGTCAGTGCTCAGCCAGGACAGTGCCACAAGTTCACTAATCCTTAATACGAGAGGCAAGGATTCCTGGGGGGCCGGGGGCTTTTATTGGACCAGCTGCATGGTTGGGATAGACATAGGCAAGCTTTTGGATACCACACTCCCCTGCCATGGGCCTCACTTGAAACATTCATCACCCCCTCTCCACAGGTTGCTTTCCCTGAAGGACAACAAAGCTCTCTCAGTCCTCTAAGGGAAAGGCAGGCGGCTAAGAGAGTTTTGTTGTCCTTCAAGCAAAGTGGCCTTCAGATGGAGAGCTATGCATGTTTCAGATGAGACTGAGGCAGGGTACTGTGATATCTGAAAACTTGCCTGTGTCTATCCCAGCCATGCATCTGGTCCAGTAAAAGAAATCACCCACAAGGGTCATGTCCACATACGCGTGGATGCTTGGTTCCCTGGGGACAACTAGCAGCAGGACACCTTGTGCCGCTGCTAGTTGTCCCCAGAGAACACCTGTGCTACACACACACTGGCGCATGGCAGGTAGGGAGGCTGGGGCCAGCCCTGGCTGGGGGCAGCCTTACCTGAGGTCCTGGGGGCATCCCAGGGCTGCAACAGCAGCGATCCAGGCACATGGAGACTGGGTGGCAGCCAGAGTGTAGCTCCATCTAGCCAGGCTCTGGTTTTGAGTGGCAGACACTGCCCCCCATGTGTGCTGCTCTGCCTTTTTTTTTCTTCCCTACATGGGTTTTCTTGGCCTCTGGATATCCAGGAGTAAAAAAAACCAACGCCACCCCTCACTGCTCCCTTATGGCACAGAGAACAACTGAATGTGCAGTACATGGTACCGCAGACGTATCTATGGCACCACATACCACACAGCCTCGCTCGTCTGGATACGGCCAAGAATTCCTGCCTCTTGCAGACATCCTGGACCATCACAGCAGCAACATCACCTCAACACTGAATCCTTCATATCACGTATTGAAAAGTTCTGTAGGTTTTGACAGAAAGACAGAGTTTTTGTTCATTTGTTTGTTTCTCGGTTTTTTCTTTCTATGAAGTTGTTTCATCCCTTTCTCGTGACTGGATGCATCAAAGACCCATGAAAAAGACTCTACCGCCTATGTTGTAGTAGGGTTGGAGTGTTGTAGCATGAAGGCCAAGTGCCTTCTTCAGGTCTCGGATAGAAGCAACAGATATGCTTCTTTCCCAGGTCTGAGGAAGGGCACTTAGTGCCCCAACACTTCTCTACCAGCTCTCCTGACTAATCAGTCAGTCCAATAAAGGTATTACCAAAAAACAAAACAAAACCTCCTCTCATCTGCCATTTTCGATCATACTCTGGAGTTTGGAGTAACAGGCATAGCACTTTATTTCTTTAAGTCACTTGCTTTCTGGGAATTTTTTCAAAGGGGTCTAAATTGATTTAGAAACTTGGATGAGAGGAACTTTGAAAATGTTGATCTTCATTCTTATTGACTTCTCTGTACATATTCCATAAGGATAACCTCACCCATTCCCCCACCAGGAACAAAAGCACTTTTCTAAATAGCAAAATATTTGTCATTTACCTATCAATCCCTCCCAAAAGCTGTCCCAGTAAAACACATTTCAAATGATAAAGATGTGCCTATGTTTGGTTTTTGTCTTAGGCATTTCTATTTATAGCTCTCAGATGTTGGCATGCATGAGTTTTTCCAGATCCTAGCCAAAATACAAAGAGACATGTTTCAACATTGCCCATATGTTTAAAAAAAATATTAAAAAATTATGAGTATATCCACTACTGATCCAAAGTGCAGTAGAAAAATGACTGCAAGCTGCATCTTTTTAGACTATTATGGTAAAAATAGTATTTGTTTTAATAACAACCTGTCCCCAGTTTAGGGTCAGAGCTGCTTTTTTAAAGCAATATTGTTATAGTGAGATGAGCCAATAAACTGGATTAGGTTTAGGCTTTGGTTTTGATGTGTGTCTAAACTGAAAGTAAGTCTCACCAGATGTTCTTACAAGGTTTTGGCTGCAACTGAACCAGAACTAGAAAACAAACATCTTCTGGTTTGAGCTGTGACATGAAGCCAAACCCCAAAATATGAAGGATTTCAGTTTTGAAGTGTTTGGGGGGTTTTTCTAGCAATCCTTCACATATAGCATTTGCATCTTTAGCAAATTTCTAGGTTAAGTACAGACAGGCAAAATGCCCAAGGATGAATCAATTCAGTCTTTGCTGGTAAATCTAACCAGCACAGAGTAAATTGAAACAGAAGTAAACAGACATTTACCTTGGATTCAGGAAATGCAGCCACATGCCTGCAGTGGCTCAAGTCAGAAGCTGGGGGCGCTAGAGCACAGCTCTCTGGCTGTGTGTTCATTTCTTCTTCCTGCTGGCCCCAAGGTCTCTCAGATTTGCAGTCCAGAATTACAGCAGCAGGCCTCTGCAGGGTTGCTCATCATTTCTTCTTCCTGTTTCCAGGTGCCTCTGGGATTTGTAGTCCAGTTGCAGCAACCAGTAAGTTTGAGTGGGGGAAAGGATGTTTAACCCCTGTCCCTGGCCCCAGACACCAGCCAGGGTTTGCCTGGGGGGGGCAGCCTCCCCTCCCCCTGGTAGAGTGGGCTGCATCGGGGAGCTAGGGAGAAGAGGGGCGGGGCCAGCCCTGCACTCTGGAGCAGACAGCCCAGCCCAGCCCAGCCCAAGGCTGCAAAGCATGCTGGAAGACTGTGATTTAGCTTGAACCATGAAGGACCCTAGGAAAGAAGTTTCATAAACTGGTTTGACCCAGATCAGTTAAGCCTGATACTACATTTAACCAGGTTTATCTTAAATCAGTTTCAGTCATTTTGAAACTGTTTTATGTGCACTGTCTGCCCTTCTGTTCTGTTACAGATTTAAACCAGTTCCTGGTCACTTGAAGCAGCTTATATGTAACATCTGTCCCTAGCCCTAGAGTGTCACTTTAATGTCTGCTAAGGACATTTTTTACACAAAAATATGGGGTCCTGAAAAAAGGAGTTTTTACAAAATCTAACCACCACAAAGGCTGTTTGTATAGCTTTTTTGGGTTGCACATGCCCCCAAAACTAGATGGGATGAAGCCACTTCCTGCCCAAAATCCCATGGGCTCTGCATTTCTGTGCTACACTTTCATTATCAAAGCTTAACTGGTACAATTTAGACAGGGTGAAAGAATTTGAAGTCAGTACAGGGCTGTGACCA